TCTAAATTTTGTAATTTTGCTTTAATGGTATTTGATAGTAACAGAAAAATTCAGTAAGTTTATATTTATATTTGGTTTTATACTAAGTCGCATAAAGTGGTAGATAGAGCGCAAAAGCAACAAAATTAATTACAAACAAATCGTGAGAATGGGAGCTAGATTTACACCTGTTAAAAAGAATTGTATGACCTAGATTTTAACACAAACACACTTGTCATAGGCTAGCTACACCTATTGTAACTTCTGCGGCTAGCTATTGATCACTGTTTGGTGTTTGTTTGAGTGTGTTTGGATCATAAAAAAATAAACATATTTCAGCCACTACATGAATAGCTTCCCAATGAGATTGAGGAAAAACTTCAAGACAAAATGGCTGAGCTAAATCTAGTTTATGATTATGTTAAGTGTTGTTAGGAGGAGATTGAAACAGCACTAGACCTTCAATAAGCACATCAATCTTAAGAATCATAGTGTGAACTATACTCTAATACAGGTCCATAGAACACGTGTGCCATTAGGGGAGAGAAAACCCTAACGTACCTCGATTTGGAAGGAGAAAGAGAAGGCATGAGAGAAATGGTATAATAATACTTGTCTAACCTTCCAAAAAAAAAACCCTTTAGGAGTCATCCAAACCAACATGAATTTGTTCTGATTTTTACAAGAGTTGGGCTGAAATATTTAAACATAACACGACTTTGTCATATATATGTATGTTTATACATGATTTTAACACACACACACTAGCCATAGGCCTAAATACCACACATTCACTAGTACATAATGGAACACATACACAAAACTAGTAGTAATCATGATGCAACTAATAAGCTCCATATGATCAAAGTAGTTTCACGGCTTATTTATCATTAAGCAGTAGTTGCCATGGACTGATATAGATATATATTCAAAGCATATAATTTTAAATTTTTAAGCTCATTACATAAACAAACTATAAAGCATTTCATTTTATTTTCGTCCAAATCTGAAAGCGACCTTACAAATCAACACATAATTTCATAACCACACACATGATCCAAAATCAAAGAGAGATACCATTTTAATGGAAATATCAAAATATAGTTAAAACCATTAATACTGACCATGGTTATATCCATTTGAAATTTTAAATTCACATTGTCAGTTACAACCAATACACACCACAATATTGCTCAATAGCTATAAGTAGTATCAATTCACTCCGTTAGAAAATAATACCTATGTAAAATCAGCTATATCTGTATCCTCCTACAAAAAGAGTCAGAATTTATCAATTTTTTACTATTATTTTTTACATGGAAATTGAATCCTTATTTGGAAGCGACATGAGATACCACTCAAGCTGAGTCGCTTGGATAGGGAAAGGTGGTAATAGAAGTAGAAAAAGTAAGTAATACAAAAAATAAAAAATGGTTCCTATTAGAAAGAATTCTGAAACTTAACAATTTGTTCAATTTTAAGATAACTAGACTATTTACGGGAATCTTCCATGCCCACATAGTCAGAGGGCCAAAGAAGAATGATTTTATTTGTTTTGGTAGCTTTTTTTATTCAAGCTATATATTCAAGGCTCTTTGATGACTACAGACTAAATCCTCAACAGAACCTAATAGTAATGTGTTTTACTGCCTGTCCCCAAGAATCATTTGTTCACATACAAGAATCATTTGTTCACATAAGCAGAACTACTAAATACATACTGGTGCAAGATAATATATTAAACAAATTAGAGTATTCTGCCACGGTGCAACATACCACCAACTAGCATATCAGCTGATCCTTAGCATTAATCAACTACTGAACAAAGAAAAATCAAAACCTATAATCAAATAAAACTAAGGCACAGTTGAGAAACAGCTTAAAAGTCAGAGACCTGAAGAAACTTAATTTACTTAATATAAATTATCATTAGATGAATTATGAATTATGCCACTTGTGTGGCTTTGAAGTCTTATTATCCTAACAACTAACTAGGATTATTTGTGTTGATGAATCTGAAATATATGCATATTTATATTTGTGGTATTGTTCATTAAAGACTGATACACTTTCAATCAAACCTCCTCCAGTTTGCCATCAATCGAAGCAAGTCTTAAGCCCTAAATGATAACACATGGCTCAGATTCCTTTGTCTGATCAGTAAGCAAATCGTAACTTTTTCTGTTCAATTCCTTCCTCTTGATTCCTTTTTCACACACACTCGCTAACACACGCACACATATGTATATATATCTATGTGTATATATTGAACATATTGCAATTGGATTTTATTTCTTTTCGTCATTAATCTATGCTCCTTTGCTTTTGAAAAAAGAAAAAAAACATATATAAGTATTTGATGGTGGACTTGTTGGATCAGTTTACGAGCCTTTTAGGCTTAATCTCACCATGGAAATCCAAAAATTTTGATATCAAATGCTTATAAAAAATTTGAGATCAAGTTTGGATTTTGGTGGATTAGGACCTTTAGATTTTATTTATTTAATGACGCTAAATCATTTAAAATTAGATAACCAATACTATACTAAAATTTCTTCAAATTTTAGCAATTTTTAAATAATTAAATTAGATGGAGACCTCTTAGCCTTCCCTGGACACCAAAGTAGGCAATAGTTCAATCATTTCCTGCTGGACTGAGTGTGTAACATATAGGTTTCATCATCCCATTTATCTTAATTTGCTGCTCATTATTGTGGAATGTGGACCTCAGTTTTAAAGCAAATTAAATAAACAGTGCTCCATTGATGTGGATTATTATTCTCTTAATGGATTTGTCAAAATGACTCAAAAACATGTGATCTTGGAGGCATACTTCGTTAAGCAGAAGAAAACAAAGTGTATAAGAAAAAGAAAAGTTGGAAAGGATAACCTTAAAAAGCTTTCTTTTATCTCCTAAACTCTAAAGATAACAATGAGCAGCAAGTGTTCATTTGAATACGTTTATAAATCATAATCCAACGTAATAGATGGGTATTTTATATTAAATAATATTTCTTTGTCATAATGGGTGATGTGTGAAAATCATTTGTTGGTCAGTTATTCAAATTCCAACCTTTGTTAACGATATCATTCTCTATATATTTAAATTACTTCTTCTAAGTTTGATCTAGTGTTGTGTGTGTATATACATATACATATTACATACATATATATATACACACACATATTCTATTTCTTTATTCCATAGTCTTAAATCTTTAACTAGGAATTTAGGAGTTAAAATTCAAAGCCACCAACACATAGGTAGTCCAAATAGTTTTTATGTATAATTAATTATTATAACTCAATTTAGATCAAGAATTATTCAAGATTGTTACCTCTTTCTCAAATGGCATGTAGAGTATACCTCTGTGTAATGTGTCTTTAGGCATCTACGCACATGATAGGATTGATGCAAAAGCTAGCAAACTCTATAAATGAGGCTTTTTTAATATATGTATTTAGTATTAATTTATCAAAAAATGTATTTAGTATTAATTTATTATTCCAACATTCCCTTGTACTTGTCTCCCCCATTTTCAAGACTTACACATATAAATTATGTGAAAAATATTCAACACTCTGCTCTCTCTCTATTTAACTCTCAATTTTTTATTTTCAATTTATATTGTCCCATTTAACTCTCAATTCATCTCATAATCTCCCTCATCTTGTATATATGTTTGTTGTACACATAGTGATATAATTATCTAGTAATCAATGGCATTGATTTTGTGGTTGTATTTTGATTTGAAAAAGGTCTGTAGTGTGTGTTTAGGAAAAGTTTAATCTTGACACCGCCTATCCCTATTGAGGGAATTGGTAATGTTTCGCTGTAAATAGATCTCTAAATTACATTATATAATTATAATATTTAATTGTTTTATATTTCATTATTTTTTGAACTTCATATTTAGTTTTTTTTTTTTTTTTTTTTAACTAATGAGTCAATTTTTGAAGCAGTTGGAGAAATGGATGAGAGACAAATTATATGCTATTGTCGATTTGATGGGAAAATTGACAAAAATGAGAATGGGGAAATTACATACATCGGCAGTGTCACAGACCCTTTTATGATAACAATAACAACAACATATGAATCATTTATAAATGAGTTACAACAACGTTCATCTTCAAACATGAGTGGTAAAGTCATATATTATACCACTGAATCTAACAAGAATGAACTTTTGAGGATGACGGGAGAATCTGGATTTAGAGTGATGCTTGTAGTGAGTGGTCCCATGCTAAATGTATATATGGAAGATGCAGCGCCTGTAATTGCATCATGCACAATTCCTACTGATCATAATGAGAGGTAAGACACATATATTTAAAGTAATACATTGATGTATGCGCTATATAGGTTATGTGATTTTTAATATACCTTTTTATCCACTTGTAGACAATTTGTTGAAGCCACGTTGCCAATTGGCCTTTCGCAAAGTGTTGCGTCAACGTCTTTATTTCCTCCGATAAATGCGCATCGGGATTCTTTCCGACACATTGATGACATTTTTTGTGTGGATCAGCTTTTTGACAGCCCAAATGATTTCAAAGATGCACTCGTTTTATTTGGTCTTCGTAATCATTTTTGGTTCAAGTACTTGGACAATAGCAGAAAATATTATAGAGTTGTGTGCGAGGTTAATAATTGTCCATGGAAATTGTCAGCTGGTTATGAAGGAAGTGGTGATATAGTGAGAATCAAGCGGTTTAATAATGTTCACACTCACACTGCTCAAGACATTTCAGATTATAAAGCCATTTTTTGGTCGAAGGAAATGGGTCGAGCTATTGTGAACAAGGTTAGGGACAATCCTAAATGCACCCCCAAGACTATTTCCACAGACATAAACGGTGAATTTTCTGCTAAAATGACTTACATGCAATCTTGGAGAGCTAAGGAGTGTGCACGTCATATCATTGAGGGAAATCCCAAGGATAGCTATATTTTAGTCCTGTGGTTGTGTGAATGAATAGCAGAATATATTCTCGGGACAATTACATCGTGGGAGTGCATGGATGATAGGAGATTTAAGCGAGTGTTTGTAGCTTATAGGTGCTCCATACGAGGTTTCATCAACTATTGCAGGCCCATGTTAGCAATCGATGCTTGCCACTTGAGTGGTAATTATAAAGGAACAATGCTTGGTGCAACGGGGTTCGATGCGAATGATGGCTTGTGGCCTTTGGCGTATGCTGTTGTTTCTTCTGAGAATGATGATGATTGGCATTGGTTCTTGAGCAAGGTGAAAGAGATTCTAGATGGTCGCATTGTGACAAACTTAATCGATAGGCATCCGAGCCTAATAAGCTGTATTAGAGATATTTTTGGCTCCCAGTACCACTCATGGTGTCTTCGTCACCTAACGGCGAATTTTTCTACATCCATTCTTGGGAGACAAAGTTTAGGATTGAGGGCTTCGGGTAAAGAGCATGCGAAAAAATTACTCGATAAAATTGCATATGCTCGAACTGTAGATGAGTATGAGAATGCATTGGCTACCATGTGGGTATTTCGAGGGGAGTTGTGCGATTGGGTTTTGGCGAATTCACCTGAACATTGGTCAAATGCTATGTTTACTTCCAAGCGTTGGGATAAATTATACACCAATCAAGCAGAGTCCTTCAATGCATGGGTGAAAGAAGAGAGGTTTTTTCAATCACAAGGCTGATGGATACACACATGCAAAGACTCAGCAAATTTTTATACCAAAAGAGTTTGGACGTTCAGAAGTGGACTATCTCGGTTGGGGATCGTATTGAGGAGAAAATCCAAAAAGAGCAAGAATTAGCACTTGGTTTTTAGTCGATGTATGTTTCGCCTACTGAGTGTACAATATATGATCGAGACAGAAAACCATTCAGGGTGGTATTTGGCAGTGAAAATTCTTGTAGTTGTTTGAAGTGGACCATGAGTGGGATTCCTTGTTCGCATGCATGCTATGCCATCCATAAATTATCTTTAAATATTTATGAGATGGTTGATCCATGGTTTAGGGTTGAAACACAATAAAAACTATGCGAACATCTCATGTCTTCTATCCCCATGCATGATATGCCGAATCCAGCTACTGTTACTGCTGCTGCTGCTGCTGACGGTGAAGGTGCTTCCCATCTTAGGCCTTCTGCGGTAACACGTCCCCCTGGACGACCTCGTATTAAACGAATCGAATCACAATTTCAAAATGTAAGGTCATTACACTGTTCGCGATGCGGCGAGAATAGTCATAATCGTCGAAAGTGCAAGGCTCCTATACCTGGATAGAATAGTTATATAATTGCTAATTCTAGTGGGGTTATTTTGTAAGGTGTTAAGGCCTTAAATATGGAATTATTTTGTAATTACTATTAATTCTTTGGAGCTTCGCTACTGCATTAGTATAACTATGTTGTGATAGTATTTCTAACTTATTTAGAAAACATTTCTAAGTATGATGTAACTTATTCTAAGTTGAATCTGTATTATTCCTTTGGTGGTTTATTTTGGTATTGAAATTATTTTCCTGGGTCCTCGTATGAGTCTCATGTGGAGTGTTATTTAAAAATCATAGGTGTGTGAGTTTTCTGGCAGCTAGAGGGTCGTGAAAGCAAGGAGGTTATGGGATTATGTGACAATGGACGGGCTTACATGTTACATACTTACAGAAGGCTAGGAAAATAACATCATATTAAAGTCATTATGACTTGTTTCCTCATAATGCCAGAGCATGCAATATACTTTTGCGCATAAACTATTCTCAGGTGTCTAATTTATCGTATGCGTGCCAGAAAGCGTCAATTAATATAAATAGCTTTTTGAAGTTCAATTATAGTGTTTATCTTTTTTTATATATTTTTTAATGGAGAATTGTTGCAGATATATTTTTCCCCAAAATTTGTACCAGAGCTGATCTTCCTAGTATCCTAAATTGAAATATTTTGGGTAAACATATATTTATAGCAAATGTGAGTGATTCTTATGCTGTATTGGCTATCACAACCGGAGATGGTAGCTTGGTGCCTATTCAGCTTACTGTTATTTCAACCACAATTTACCTCGTGAGTCTCTATCTTCCTCACTTTCTCTGTGTCTTAAAAATTATATGAACATTGTGTTTACATTATCAACATTGTTTGACTGATGAGGCTGAATGGATAAATTAGTACAAAGGGAGAGTGTTCAGTTTAAACGACAAGCCTGTGGTGCATAAAATTTGGCTGCCGAATGAGGAATGTCCCAGATTGGCAATGTCTAGAGCCTTTGGGGACTACTTTATTAAGGATTTTGGACTTATATCCGTCCCTGAAGTGAGGTGTTGTCACATATAACCAGCAGAGACCAATTTGTTGTGTTGCGAACCGATGAGGTATGTATGGCACTTTTTGGTATTTATCACTTGTTCTTTTTTATACAATGACAAAGAAAAAGACTTGTTTGTTTCTCTATTAAATGTCCAAAACCTGTAAAAGATCACATGAACGAATACGTATCAAACTCACGAGCATAATTGACAATAATCACTTCAAATTATATGATATCAGTTATTATTAATGAGTTTACAGGTTTTTGTTTTGGCTCAAATTTATTCGATTTTGAAATTAATATGGATTTTTGAAATTGATCTTAACATGCTGTGATCCTTGTTTTGTAAGCAGAATTTTTCTTATCTTTTCCTTCAAACCTGATTTAATCGGTAAGAAAATTTATTGATTTAAATTGATAGAAGAAAATTGTGTGTTTAAGATTCCAATGGACTTGGTTTCATGCAAATTGTTTGAGAATTTCTTTTTTATTGAATTTTCAAAGGGAAGTATGTATTTCTGGGAAAAATTGTTTCAAATAGATTTTTGAGCTTCCTTCTGATTTTTGGTGGTCCAAATAGTCCAATCAATTAAAAAAGTAAAAAAATAAAGAAACAGTAATAAAAAGGATTTTTCTATAATCTTGGTTGACCAGTGTTACCCCATTTATTTATTTATTTTGTTTAGAGTCTTGCTTTTGGTTACTAGCGCCTAATAAAAAAGTTATCTGCTCATATGTCCCTTATTTTTGAGTTTTTTCATTTAACCATCTCCACTTGTACAATATTTTGGTGTTATATTTTCTTTAATTGATTTGTATGTACTTCAAATGTAGTCTTCCCGCTAGGGGCTGGGAAAAGACAACAACGGGAGCGTCGATTGCATGGCTATCAGGTACATCAAATTTGTAAGTTATATGGTCTTTATGTTTGATAAAATTCTTTTATGATTGTACATTTGTAATGCTTTTTATACTCATACTCGGGGGGTCACATGCCTTTAAGTGACCAATTTTGTGGTGTATCTTGAACTTTATTACCTTATTGCTACATCGGCCCATGTGGAGGCCATTTTTATTTCTTGTTTTAAAATGTTGAAAGCATGGGAGTATGGGATCATCGTATGTGGAGGTTTTGATTGATTGTTATGGAGGAGAAGTTGTTGATATGTTGTTTAATGAGTTAATGCAAGTTCTTACGTTCTTCGTACATTTAAACCGTAATAAGCGTAAATGCAAGTTCTCACGTTGCCCGCGCTACACGTGTATTAATGAATGACGTAAAAGCTTTTTTTGATTTTTGGGAAAGTATAGAGAATGCCAGAGTCCAAACTCATCTTTTAACATTCCGTATCAAAAATCAATCCCTTTTCGTCCTTAAACTCTCCCTATCAGCAGACCCTTTTTCGTCTTCCGCATTGTCAGTCTCCATCAAACGAATCATATTCTTCCACGTTAGCGTCGTCTTCCTCTTTCCTTCTCTCTTTGACGCATACATACATAAAAACGCCCTGTTCACTTCTCTCTCTCTCTCTCTCTCTCTCTCTCTCTCTCTCTCTCTCAAGGCTCAGTTACAACATTTCGCTCTCTAAACCAAACGATCAATGCTAAGCCACGACTCTTAAAATTTTTAGAGTATGTATTTTTTCATCAATTCCTATATATATATATATATGGATTGCTAATATTTGTTTACCAAAGTGTATATGTGTGCATTATGCCTTGGATATTGGCGGCACAGACATGTTTCCCCACTGAATTATTATTATTATTTTTTTATTATGTACCTACAAAAATATTAAATTGCCTTGCCTAATGTTCAAAATATACTAGTCTCAGCTTAATCTCAAGTTTCCCATCATTGATTTTGCTAAATTACAAGGTCCAAACAGGTCCCAAGTCGTCAAGTCCCTTGCCCATGCTTATGAACAATATGGATTCCAAACAACAAAAAACTGAAAAAGCCATAATATGTAATTAGAATGGTGGAAAAAATTTAGGGTTCGGGTTGAGTCTAGCCCAACTCGAATATGTTTGGATTTTGACACAATCCAACCCGAACATAAACCCGATTTCTGAATTTAAAGCCTCAATTTTAAAATTTTTGAGTTGGGCTTAGGTTGGGCTGGGTTAGCCAGCCCAAGTTACAGCCCTAGGTATAAGGGTTATAGTTACTTATAGAGCATAATACGTTTTGATATGTCGTCTCTTCTATTATTGTGTAAGCATTTGAGCCTAGTCTTGCTTCATCTAGTGCATTGATATTGATTGATGTGATCAATTGTGAGTAGCTGTGAATTACAAATGTCTAGACACCATCTCATTACTAGGTGGTTGGAATGGGAGGATGAGTCACGCTTATGGTGGGGTTAGTGTTTTCCTAAAACCAGTTGTGGAATGGATAATTGATAGGAATCACTTGATTTCATAGCTTATTATAAGAAGTTGACCTATTTTGTAGTGAGAAACCAGATATTCATTTCCTAAAATTCAACCATTCATTAAAGACAGTAGACAAGCTAGAACTTTAGAATTATGTGACCTTAATTAATGAGAGAGGATTTTGTTTTGGACCACAAAAATAATGTCGGTTCGTCGTTTTAAATTTAATTTAATTTGACAACTGTATTAGAAAATTAAAAGAAACCAAAAACTATCTTGGTATGGATGATGGCTTTAGGATACTGCTGAAGAAAATACTAAAAAGAAAAAAAAAAAACTGTGTTGGTGTAGGATTGATCCCGAAGTAGGGTTATTAAAGAAATTAAAGACTCAAAAGGTGATGTTTAACTTGTTAATCTTGAAATATAGTTGCAGTTTCTTTGTCCAGTTCTTTTATGATCCTGTTTTCTTACCCCTTGCTGAAAATATCCTATACTGGATCTTGGTTCCCTTTACTATTTAGTCTATTACTACTTACGTATCTTGTTCACTGATAATCAAGTTAAATTATACATGTAGTTGAGAATCCAATATAATTAATTGGTCTCTCTGGGTGTATACCAAAATTTACATGAAAATACAAAACCTTTGGAATTAAATTAGGCGGGTTACGGGGATTTAGACCTCCATTACCCAAATTAATTGTATAGGAAAACAGTATTGTTTATCAGGAGTAGGCGGAATTAAGTTGCCAAATGCCCAAATTAGCATTGGTCTCTCTTGTCTTGGTTTTGTTTATTTATGTATGTTATTTTGTTCGTACGTTTTGGTAGTAGTTTCTTTGCTACATTTTGTTTGTCAATGATGATGATATCTATTTGATTCATAAATGACAATCTTGTTCTTTCCCTTTTGTGATTAGCATACTGAATTTGAGACTTGTGTGATGCAGCTACTTGCTTGGATTTTGTACCATGGACAATGAGGTGATTTTTTGACAAGTGCAGACTG